CTCCTGTGACTCACCTCCCCTCCCGCCTCCTGTTACTATGGACGCGGCCGGGAGGGGAGGTGAGTCACAGGACCCGCCCCCTCACTGTGAAGCCCGTCGGCAGTGCGGGGCCCCGGTGTTCGAACACCGGGACCCTGCACTGCCCCATATTGCAGAACCGGACCGGTACCATTTGATCCGCGGACCGGGGGTTGGGGACCACTGCTGTATACCACCCTATACTTTGTTAGTTTAGAGCATTACATTGTTACAATGTGAATTGTTGCTTTCCTATACATTTGTTTTTCAGACATGAAACAAAACTGCCACATTGTAGAAAAGGATGTTGCCATTTATTCCTGCCCATGTACCCTTTCCCTCTAAAAACAAATAACCCCTCTAAAACCAATAGGAATAATTAAGTTAAAGAATTTGAAGAAAAAAAAGTTATTACCTAGCAACACCTCCACAGATTTCACATGATTCCCTCTTACTGCATACAGTAATGGCGTCCCTCCATTCTGTAACAAAAATATTGTTTAAGTAAACAAGTGTTAAAAAGACTTCGCACTATAAAGGGAACTACACAGGTTCTGAATCAATTTTATTTAAACAAGTTTTTAAAAAATAAACTCATTCTCTTGCAACTGGTCCTCTTCCAACCTTCCTCCTTCCTTTCTGCCTCTCTTATATGCCACCCACTGTACGGGCGAAGTGTTGCTTTTTAACACAACTATTCCTGACTGTTAATTGTATACTTTGTACTTCAAAACTTAAACTCATAAAAAGGGATTCCCTGTGCTTGCATGGGATTTCTCCGGGCACTCCGGTTTCCTCCCACACCAGACATGCTGGAAGGTTAATTTGCTCCTGTCTAAATTGGCCATGTGTGTATGTGCAATAGGGACCAGTAAGCTCCTTGAGAGCTGGGAGGGGAGTGATGTGAATGTGCAGTATGTTATGTGCTACATACATTGTCGGCACTATAGAAATACCTGTAATAAATAAATTCCCAGAGCACAGAGGGTTAGCTAAAAAAAAGACAGCACAGCAAAAGCAGCCTTGCAGCATCCTTTTGTTTAACTTCAACTACAGAGTTCTGTGATAAGGGATCAGTCACTGATTTGAATCATTTACTCGTGTGTAAATTTGAGCTCAAGCTGAAAACCAATGTATAGAAGTGACTATAGAAAGATTACAAAATAGTCAAATGCAATATTTAGTATTAACGTGGCTAAAAAACTCACCTTTTTGGCCTTACCATTGTAAATAAAGATTTATTTATTTTTTACATAAAACCACTTTGTGGTCTTAACAGACCCTAATAGAGTGTGTAGCGCACCATGGAAGTAGAAAACACACTATAGTTTTCCAAGCTCCTTTTCTCTACTCAGGAGTAAACTTATACAATCTCCACAGGTAGCATGTGTATAACTTTTAAGTTGTAAAAACAACAAAGATGGCTTATAATTCTTATTCGCCAATCTGCACAATATTCCAACCATTATCTAAATAGCATTGGTGACTCCAGTAGGCAGGTTCTCTATAATCAGCATATACAGGGCCTCCATTAAAGCACCATACACCCTACCTGACAGGGGCCCCCTCCCAACTAAGCCGCGCACAGTGAAATGCTGCATCAAGCTCTAATGTGCAGGCAAACTAGAATTTTCTTTTTTTTTAAACACACTTTACTTCCACTTTAAGGCAGCCCATTGAAGATACAGTAAAGTATGGAAATACATGTTCTGCATTCCCATGCTTTTATTTATATAATAAAAACGCATGGGAAAGTAAAATATGTATTCTCATACATATATTGTTTGAGCATACACTTTTTTTCGCCTGCCTAGTGCCTGCCATGTATGTCTGTTGATCTACCTTGCAGTTATGCTATCATTACGAGGTAGATTGATAGACGTATATAGCGGTAGAGCTGCAGCTAACGATTATTTTCAAAATCGATTAGTTAGCTGATTATTAAGTTCGATTAATCGGTTAATCGGATAAACAATAAAATAAATTTTTAAAAATGGCTCCAGTGATGGGACTACTAGTTTGTATTGACGGGCACTAGGTAGGTGACACATCTGTTCATTGCATGCAGTGCTACATGTGTCCTTCAGTGCAGGTCTCCTCCACTCTACCATGCTGTCACTGACTCCCCCGGTCTCTGCGCAGCTTCTGGACTTTGTGTAATTGCTCAACTGCTGCAGGTGTAGATTTGACACTGGTGTCTCCAAATAGTCTGACACCCAGCTTCCAAGACACCATGAGCACAGACTCTTCCCCCCGCACCCGGGTTAACCTCTGCTCCTCATTTCCAGCACGGGTTACCACTGCACTATCAGCAACCTTCTTTTAGAACTGCTCACCTCTGCACCCCTGTTCCAACACTGATTGCAACTGCACTCCCTGCGCATCCCTCATTGCTTTGCCCACTCCTGCACCCCTCTTCCTTTTCTGCTCACCACTGCATACCCATGCATCCCTGTTCCTTCTCTGCATCCCTCTTCCTACACTGCTCACCTCTGCACCCTCTCTGCTCACCTCTACACCCCTTGCAACCCTATTCCTACTCTGCTCACTTGCACCACCTATGGCAGGGGTGCAGAAGTGAGCAGTGTAGGAAGATGGATGCAGAGGGTGAAGAAGTTAACCCTCTGCATCCAACACTGTTAACTTCGGCACACTTTTCAATACTTCGTCTTACACTGTGCACCCCCTTTAATCTAAGCTGCACACCTTGTGCAGCTTACCTCATGGCAGGACTCCAGCTACTGCTGAATGAGACACCAAGGACTGTGAGCAGTGTGGGGGCGGAGGTTAAACATTAGTAGGCGGGATCCTGAGTGGCCTGCCTAGCTGTCGGTCCCGTCCACTCGCCTTGGTAACTAGTCCATGGGCAGGCTCCTCTCCTCCTTCACTGAATGGGGCCCACACACCTTTAGAGAGGGAGGGAAGGAGCCTGTCCATTAACTGGTTACTATGGCAAGTGGGCAGGACCATCCTCCTTCCCTAGAAGCATCCCGTGCCGGCTTTTGCCCCCCTGCGGTCTTGATGGAGCCCGGGCCCGGTATAGGAGTGCTGCTTGTAACCACCAACCAAAGCAACCCCCCCCCCCCCCCCCACATATAAGCAAAAACACACCCCACAT